TTCCATGTCAGAACAAACCCAGAAGGCACTTTGGAAGCACGTTTGCCCGTTTTTCCTTTAAACTTACTTTATCTGGCAAGTTCTAACAAGGCCCTCCAGTTCACATTTTGCAACTGTGCCTTTTTCCTGCTTGCATCTTACCCCAATAAGCCAAGCAAAGAGAAGAGGTCTCTGTCATCATTTAGAGACAGAAGTTATTTGCCTGAAGCTCCCAAGCTATATACAAGATACCCCTCTATATTTTATGCAGGAACACTGTTCTGGTCTACAACAGTGGAAATAGTCCCAAAAATCCCTGGATGCAGGACCCTTCATGATTGAATGCCTGACATCTGATGTATAACTTTACAAGGCTTTTCCTCTGAAAGAATCTATAAGATACCAACTGCACCTTTATATGTGTTTCTTATAAGCAAATCCAAGTTCCCTCTTTGGCTATGAGTAATTCCCTTTCAAGTTCTAACAGTGCATATTTCAGCTCCTTTTCAAATTTCTCATATATGTTGTCTCTTCCTGCAGCTAACTGCATCATTCTGCTTGGTAACCACTTCTCCCCACACACACTTGGTTTTTCTCAAGCTTTCTCAACCAGTTCTGTGCTTTCCACTCACCTGTATATAAAGAATAACCCAGTTAAACCTGCTGTGATTTACTGAGGGTGTAAACAAACCAGTCAGATTTACATATTTTGCTTTGATATTTCTAAATGTCCTTCTGGCTTTAGAGCAGCATCTTTTTTATTCAGCATAGTAGCAAATAATTGTTTTCCTTACCTATTGCATTACTGCTCTGTCCTTTGTTTTACAAACAGAATGATCATTATTGCAAATATGTTTGGCAAATGTCATGACCCATTTTAGAATTCCCCTGTTCACTCTCACAAACTGGAAACAGAACTACACTCACAGGCCTTTAGGGCAGTCAATTTTTCATTTTCCTGGTAGTGGCAGCTTTTTTAACTCACGAGCAGCAACAAAAATTGTCAAAACTCTGTGGCAAATTCCACACTTTCTCAGTATGTCTTTGTCTGTCCTTTGCTGATCTTCACTTGCAAAGTCAAGTCTGACCAAGTGTTAAATCAATTTTATTTTTAGGAGTCTTCTTTTTTATTAAATATACCACAAGTTCAACTCTGCTTACATATTCTGCCAATTGTTTTTCTATCCCGTTCTCCCTCTTTCCTGGCAAGGCTAAGCTGGTGGCTGCCTTGTAGCAGCATGTCAAGGGCAGCACAGCCTCTTTTTTTTTCTGGATGTAGATCTTGAGTATCACCCAAACTGCATTAGTGAAATTTAATAAACAGAACCACATCTCTGTCTGTCTCCTGAGCCCAGTGACTGTGATGTTAAAGGTAAACTCTGCTCAGCTGACCATTTCAACAGTTTTGCAATATTTTGCATTGATTCCTAAGAGTGAAGATAATCCAGATTGCCTCCAAAGTAGGCAGCTGTTGGAAACTACCTGGAGTGTCTTAGTGATCCAGTCTCAGTTCTGCCCCCTCCTTTGCCTTGCCTTGCCTTGCCTTGCCTCCCCCTCCCTTGCCTTGCTTTGCCTTCTTTCCCTGCCAAAGGAGGGGGAGGCAAGGCAGGGAAAAAGGCAAGGCAAGGCAAGGCAAGGAAGGGGTAGGCAGGGAAGAGAAAGGATGGGACAGGCAAGCAGGGAAAGGCAAGGCAAGGCAGGGGTAGGCAGGTCAACCCAATGGAGGGGCAGGCAAAGCAAGGCAGAGCAAGGCAAGGCAAGGCAGGGGTAGGCAGGGGAAGGGAAGGGGTGGGGCAGGCAAGCAGGGCAAGGCAAGGGAAAGGAGGGCTAGGCAGGGCAGGGCAAGGCAAGGCAAGACAAGGGAGAAGCAGGCAGGGCAAGGTAAAGCAAGGAGGGGTAGGCAAGGCAAGGCACAGCAGGCAAGGGGAGGGGTAGGCAGGGCAAGGCAAGGGAGTGCTGGGCAAGGGAGGGAAGGGAGAAAGGCAAGGCAGGGGTAGGCAGGGCAAGGCATGGGAAGGGAGATTTAGGCAGAGAAAGGCAAGGAAAGAGGGGGTAGGCAAGGCAAGGGAGGAGTAGATAGGGCAAGGCAATGCAAGGCCTTGCCTTGCCTCCCCCTCCCTTGCCTTTCCTCTCCTTCCCTTGCCTTTACTTGTACTGATCTGTGAATTTTTAACTTACTGTTTTAACTAAGCTCAGTGCTTGATTTGTGATGAAAAATCAGGTTTCTTATCCAAGTTGACAAATCTGCAGCTGAGAAATCACTGGAATCAGTATCCAGGCTTACTGGCCTGAATTACTTGAAATGCAAGGCAAGACTCACAAAGCAAAGTTAATCAGACAGATGCTTATCTTTAGAAAAACATGTTTAATAACTTTTATCTTTAGTAAGTTTAGAAACACTTGCTTAATAACGTTAAAATATTTCACAGAAACATAAATGGAGCCATAATTGATAAGGAAAAGTTGTCAAAATGTTTATTTCATCAAATTTGAAGTTACTAGTAAAACTGACAAAGTTCTGAAACAAAACAGTAAAATTGAAAGAGTTCTTTTATCTCTATCAAACCAAATATTTTCATACAGCATTCCAGAATAAGGGAAATTTCAGAAGGTATTTTTTCACTTTAATTGTTGTTGTAATCCGAATAATCACTTTTGTTCCAAACCTCGTTTTGCACACCTTAGCCCTGTATATGCACTACCTTCAGCTTCCAGCAAGCTTTCTTTAGACACACCACTTCAGGTGACTGTAATCAAGGAAGAAAATACAGTATAATATTATTGCCATTTTCATTTTAGAGTCCTGCTGATAACTCAGGGCAGTTGCAATCCTAATTATTACAGCAGACTCACTCTCCCTTTCATTGCCCATCATTGATTGACTCTGATATGGAGTTGTATCCATTTTTCCCACCTTTGAAAATGAAAAGTAGGCTGGCAGGGAGAAACATTTGGAAAGGAATACTTCCAGCTGTGTACTTGGTTCCAATAAATCTCTTGCAAACTGTATGCAAACTCCTTTCTGTGCATCTGTTTCAGCAATAAAATGAATGGTATGAGGCACAGTTTGTTACAGATCACGTGGGTTTTGAGATAATTCTCAGCTCTTGTCTGAATATTTAATCAAAATACACCCACATGTTTATGGCACCACAAGAATAACCCAGTGAAGAACCAGATGTGGTGCCCAGCTCTAACTGAGCAATAGCTCAGACCTCAGGGTTGCCTTATTTATAATTTCTTTGCACAACAAGAGAACAGATTGCTGGGTTTTTTCCCCACTGACAATTAAATTTTGCCTTTCTTCTGCAAATAGTTATTTTGCTTCTCAGCAAAAGCAGAGCATCTTGTTGCTAATACTCTTAACCACATCCATGCTTTCCTCTTGGACATTTCATTTCACAACAATAATGAAATCACTCACCACAATATCCATCTTTTTGTTCTCAGAACAGACACTTCATAAAAGGAAATTGGGATAACGAAGAGCAAGAAGATAAAAGTTTACTTGAAAGGTGTTTCAGAGAACATCCTTCTACCATGAAAGGAAAACATTCCCACGTTTGGGAAATGTAGAGAATTCCGTGGCTTTCAGTGTGTCCCAAAGATGGAGAGAAGAAGGGAAAGGAAGGTTGGAAGGGAGGTAGGAATGGAGGAAGAAGGGAATTGAAGGAATGATGGAAGGAAAGAGGACAGAAAGGAGAAAAGGAGAGGGAGGGCACAGAAAGCAAGGGAAGGAAGAAAAGAAAGAAAGAAGGAAGAGATGAAAGAAGGAAGAGAGAGGATGGAAAGAAGGTGCAAATTTGGGAATTTAGTTGACTGTGCTGCTCCTACATATCTGAAAATCTGGAGACCTTTGATTAAATGAATACAAATTTTATTCTTTCATAAATAAAAACACCCCTTCTTTCCTTGGAAAACATGTACTAAACATGTTTTGACAGATCCCTTCAGTTCACCACTGAGAACAGCAGTCATGTATTTGCTATTAAAAGGCATCAGAAATCATTTTTTAAAGAAATGAAAAGCACCTTCTGAGGTGACAAACTGTAAGAACAAGGAAGGGGTTTAGGAGTGAGGTTTCTTACACTCACTTTCATCAGAGCTGAAAACATTTGGTGGGATTTGGCTGTTTCCTCATGTTTTCTGTACGATCTGAATTTCATTTAATTTACATGACCCTTTGCAGAACATAAGAAGCTTCCACCTAAACTTTGCCTTTCCCCTGGCCTTGAGGTTGAAGAAACCAACATAACAAGCACAAAGAGAGCTGCTGCTGCAGCCTTGGAGCCTGTGGGAGGTTTGGGTTTCTCTGAAGGTGTCAGAGCTCCAGCTGAAGATCCTGCCTTCACTCAGGGTGAGATGGAGAGCAATGGACTTTGGAAGATGCAAAAACCTTGGGATATGTCCTCCTCAGCACACACCCAACACAGCCATCATAAAAGCAGCATTTGAAAATAAATTGGAGCACACAAGTCCCTTGTGCCAGCCCCGAGGCACAAAGTGCTTTGTGCAAGGACACAAGACGTGCCCCTGTAATGTGGGGGAACGTTCCTGGTGCTTGGAAGCGTCAGGATTTGGGTAAGTTTGGGGCTGAGCAGAAAAGTGAGCATTCACAGCTATATGAGTATATCCAAAATGTCCTGTTTCCTCCTCATAATGCCTTTGTTTAAGACATATTAATTGCTAATGAAAGAGTTACACCATCTAGCTGAAAGCTGCACAGACCTGTAAAGAAGTGCTGGCAGCAGATTATCGGGGCACTCCCTGGAACTGCACCCTCACGGGGTTTGGGAGACAGGACGTGTGTGTTTGTAAGACAGGAGGTGTTTTTTTATAAGACAGGAGGTGTTTGTAAGACAGGAGGTGTTTGTAACACAGGAGGTGTTTGCCACACTCCCCTGGAGCTCCACCTCGTGCCCACCATGGCAGACTTGAACAGGGCTCCCTGTCCAGGAGGGGAAATTCCTGAGCTGTGTAACAGGATGTGAACGTGGGAAAAGGCGACAAACACGAGCAAAATGTCACTAAAGCTCATCTGCTTCTTCCTCTGCACCCTGATTGCATCAAATCTCACAGGTAAATGACTAAAATATCTCCAGTTAAGGCAGAAGACAAAGGGTTTCTGAGTAACAAAGTCTTTTGTCCTTTTGTTAAACATGCCTCTGCAGTACTTAAGCCAAAGAGTATCAGTACTTAAGCCAAAGAGTATCAGGTCAGGTGATCTTGAATTTTAATTCTTTTTCTAAAATGTATATTAGAGTGAGCAAATGAAAAAACAATCTGTAAATTCTGTGTTCTACTGGTCAATTCTAAACTCCAAAGAAAAATTTCAGTTTGAAGGAATTTAAATAATGCTATATTTGTCTCTGTTCTTTTGCTGTTCTGTGAGAAGCTGAACCCTCAGTTTTTCTTTTAATGCTGATAACTTTGAGCACAGGGATGCCCTGCCTGTGGAGTGGATGCAGGGTCAGAGAGGAAGGATATAAAGTGCTAATGAATAGCTCAAAATGGTTCACTGAGGGTCTCCTTTACCCTGGAAGGAGGTTCTGCAATTTGTAATCTGCTTCTCCAGGTAAATGCTGGACACCAAACACATCTAGAAGGGGTTTGGCCTCAGATCTTCTGACTACATTTCAGTGGTTTTGATGGTCAGTCCCCTAGAAAGCAACATGGTTTGCCAGCATGTTTGGGTTTTGCCTAGTTCTGTCTTAAATGTGCCATCTTAGGGTGTGTCAACAACATTCAGGTTGTTTCTTGCTCCATTTTTTCTCTGCCTCAGAAAAAAAATTAATATCTTCCTTATTATTTATAGTCCTTAACTGCTGATTACAGAAACTACTAGGAGTTAAGGATGCCTGGCTTTCATTTTCAACATTTAGCTTACAAAGAAATTCCTTTATCTTCTTGGGATGTTATAGACATTATTTTCTTGTTCCCAATATTCAGAATTCAGAATTCCCTTGTCAGATTCCCCTTCCCTGATATTTCCTCAGATGGAGAGGCAGACCATGCTCCAAGATACAAGAAGATGGGGTAATTGCTGTCCTCCAGATTGGCAAAAGGAGATTAAATGATAAACACTTGAAAGTTAAAAAGCCAGTGCTTATTAGCACAGCAGTGAGGAAGGATTTCTCAGCCCTATAAATAAAATTTTAAGGGACATGCCAGGAAAAGTGGAGATGAGGTAAAGCAATTCTGGACACCATGTAACACCAATTCCAGAGTTACTGTTTCCTCTTGTGTTGTTGAGCCCCTGAAAGGAGAGGATATGTATTAATTGTATTAATATTTTTGCAGTGTTGACATGCACTTAACAGTAAGAAGTGGTAATAGTAGTGATGAAGTGATGATGAAACATTATTTTGTTCTATATTCACAAAGCAAGAAGGATATAAAAATCTATCCCAGAGCAATGGAATTTTGTCAGGGTTTATTTAAGACATTTTAAACTGAAAAGTAAGAGAGACAAATGCATTGGACTTCATGGTGATTTTTTTTTAATTGTAAATTCTTTATGTTTAACAAAAAGAGGACAAAAATATTATACAAAAAGGGTCATCACCATTCTAAATGGAAATATATTCTTTGTGTAACAAATGTACTGCTGAGAGGGTAGGAGGCAAAAATGCTATTTACAGAGAAAATCTGGACATGTCTCTCTTTGGCACGACTGGAGACATTGGGGTAAGAGTCAGTATGGCTTGAAAGGCTGGAGTTTGGCTTTTCCATACTGCTTGGGAATCCAAAATCAGATGGAAATGTGCAGCCCTGGCCTCTCAGCCCCCTGAGTCCTGCCTGTGCTCTCTGCCCAGTTGTCCCCTGCACTTTTTTAATGATTGTTTCTTTTTCCTTCAAAATGCATAGAGTTAATGGATTATTTTAGTACTTCCCTGTTTTCACTTGGTGCTTTCTCTGTTTATATAACTTAGAACTGTCTTTTCTCCCAGTGCTAAACTTGTATTTGCTACAATTGTTTTGTGGGCTGTTGCAACAGATGGGTTGGAGAAACCATGAATATAATTTGTTTGGATATGACACAGGACACATTGTGTCTAGATCAAAAGTATTTTAGAAAAGCATGAACCTCTCTTCCAAACTATAACTTTCAGCAAGTTTCAGAAACTTAAACCAATGAACTTCTTTTATACAGACTCATACACTGGCATTAGGTACAGAGTTTTTCCTAGTGAAAGGAAGAAAGAAACCTTAGTTTCTGGATGTGAACTTTTGTGGTTCAGCTGAAATGAGGTGACAGGTCTCACTGTGCCAGTAGGAGAGTCACTGGTTTTGCCAGGATAACAGTGGACTAAGCTAAGCATAGTCTGGGAAGGAAAACTCGTTTCAAGCAGCTATGAAATAACCTTTGGGCCATTAAAAGCCAAAGTCCAATTCAGAACTATCTTCCTTTAAAATAGGTTTCTGGGCAGTTTAATAAGACAGGGCTTAGTACTGTTGAATACAAATATATATATCCAAAAAGTCCTGAAGTGAAGGACTTAAAAAATTAGGAAACACAAACACTCCTGTGCAGTTCACCCCTGTTCAGACCTGGAACTTCATTGTGTGCATGAGTCATGTGGAAAACCAGTGTCTGATCATGTAAATGAGGATTGTTGTGTAATTCACACACTTAGGTAAGCCAGCTCCCAAAATTAACATGGGAACCAAGAGCACAAAGGAAAGCAGCAAACACCCTAAATGCTGAGAAACATGGAGAACACAAGAGACTGAATGGGTGGTTCAGCTGCAGTTTGACATCACTAGGGACTTTTTTTTTTAAAGATTAAAAAGTGCCTTGACACTGACATGGAGCCTCAGCCAGCCAGAAGTGACAGAACTGCTGATATGGCAGAGAGTGACTCCTCTGGTCTCCAAATGGCAAGAAAACTTCTCATCCCAGAAATACCTGGATTTTACTCCAAAGAACAGCTGAGAGTTGTGTCAACAGATCTGTATAACATGTTGAAAAGCGTAAAAAAAAAGTTGGCAACGAGGTTCCCCATATCATTAGTGATTTTATAAATATATATATACAGGGAATATTCTAAGGGCAGAAAGAAGAAAGATATTGTTCCAATGCTTTAAAAGAGCAATTGTCATGAAAACATTGCTCAGGGACTTGTCAACTTGATTTTGGTCCTGGGTAGAACAACTGATGTTAACTGTTTTAACTTTATAAACATGGCTCAAAAGAAGACACCTTTTTAATGGCAAAGGCTATTGGACTATAAACCTGTCAAGTGAAATAATTTAATAAAAGAATAATCTTTAGGTAACATACTGGGATAGAACAGTTACCTTGTTTTGGGGAGTGTGTTTGCCATTGCTACACTGGGTTGGTAGAAACTACTCCACCCATTCCTGCCTTCCAGAGGTTCCTTGGGAACCATTCCCTGCTGGGCAGAGAGAACAAAATTGTCCTGGGATGGGAGAGCAGCAGAACAGAGATAAGTCTGTTCCCATAGGGTAGTGCAGGATTTTCCCATGGGGAATCCTCCTTTCTGTGCTCTGCTCCAAACACTGCTGAGAATTTTACATTAAGATACCATGGGATAAAATTAACTCCACTGTGGGTACCAACCCATGCTTTGATGATCTCAGAGTAACGTAATAATTTCATTTATAGAGCATTGAGTAAGTTTATTCTATTAAGAGGTACTTTGCAGCCTACAAGGACTTACATTATTAGAATCCTGCAACATGAAGGGAGCTGTAGCAGAGCCAGGATCTTCCACGGTGTCCAATCCAACCTGGAGAGAAATTGCACATTCAGAATCACGGCATTCATTGGAACAGTTTATAGAGAGCATTTTTTACTTGACTTCATTAAATAGAATTGGATGGCTTGACCTTTTCTCACAGTTTCACTGATACAATGAAAACCTCTGGCATAAGAAAAAGGCACCTTTGCCTTTCTGCACACAGTGCCAGCCTGACTGCTCTGTCATTTGCTCTTTGGTTGTCACTTCTTCTTCTTTGTAAAATACTTTCAAATACTGAAGTGACAGTAGTGAAATGAAAAGTGTGTATTTCTGATGCAAAACACTGTTTTGTACTATTCTTTTAAGCCATTTTTTTTTTTCCCTAGTACATTCAATTTTTTTCTTTCTTTTACTGGGAATTTTAGGTGAAAAAGCTTTGCTGACAGCACCGCAGAACATCTCCATTCTTTCCACCAACATGAAACACTTCTTAACTTGGAGTCCTGTGATCATCCAGGGAGAAACTGTGAGATACTCAGTTGAGTTTCAGGGGTAACTTCTGGTTTTGTCTTCTTGTTTGCTCTTTGAACACTGCTTATCTACACTTAGTCCTACTTTTTTTCTTTTTTTATGTTTTGAGCACTATTCAGCTCACAAGCCTAAGAGAAGTTTGATACTTCAGGATTGCTAATCACAAGTGTGTGGGGGGGAATTCCTTTTACTCCAGTTCTGAGACTGTTTACAGGTTCATCAATACCTGAGTAATCCAAGGTGTGCATTGATTCCACATAAGAAACCTGCCCTTATCCAAAGAATTCAAAAGTTAGGAAGATCAGCCAAAGTTTATGTAGAAGTAGAAAGCTTTTGAGATTTATTCAGTGTTAATCTTTTAAACATTTAACACACATCACAAAAGGTTTCTGATACATCCTGAGCTATGACTTGTATTACAGTATGGCTTTGGAATTCTGGGGTACCAAGAAGGATCAAGTCAAATGAGTGGGCAGGATGTGATGCAGCGACACTGCGTTGGCTCTCCCCACCTCCCACAACATCGAGCTGCATTTGGCTCATGAGCAGGCTGGGAGATGTTCTCTAGATAAATCTGAAACACACCCATACTGCTTTCATACACTCCTGGTGTTCCAGCATATCCCAGTACTGGTTTTACCTGGGAAGGACTAACAGGCAGCCTTAGCCCTGTCGCAGATACATCTCCTGTCACACTGCTGCCCGCGTGCTTTCTTTCCTCCTCAGGGAGTACGAGCGAGTGTACGCCAACGAGAGCTGGATCCCCATCTCCGAGTGCTCCCTCATCACAGCCACGCTGTGTAACATCACAGAGGACATCTCAGCCACCGTGGCCTATAACCTGAGGGTGAGGGCAGCTCTTGGTGCCAGGAGGTCAGAGTGGGGCACCCTGAAAGGCTTCTTCAATCGCAACACCAGTGAGTCCCATTACTGGCTTAAGCTGCGTGGTTCGTGTCAGCTTCTCAGAGTTTGGTGCTGGGGGATCCCTCAGGAGCTGGGGTTGTTTAGTCTGGAGAGGAGGAGGCTTAGGTGAGACCTTGTCACTCCCTACAGCTCCCTGAAAGGAGGTTGTAGCCGAGTGAGGGTCAGTCTCTTCCCTCAGGCAACCAGCAGTAGGACAAGAGGTCACGGTCTTAAGCTGTGCAAGGGGAGGTTTAAGTTGGACATTAGGAAGAAGTTCTTTACAAAGAGAGTGATTTGGCATTGGAATGGGCTGTCCAGGGAGGTGATGGAGTCACTGGACTTGGTCCCATGGTCTGGGTGACAAGGTGGTGTGGGATCAAAGATTTGAATTGGTGATCTCAGAGGTCTTTTCCAACCTCGCTGATTCTGTGTGTCTGTGACTCTGTGTGTGGTGCCTGCCACACAAAGCCCAGATATCCACAGAGCACATCCTGCTTCTCAGCTCCTCTCATGCTGTGCTGAGATGTTTCACTCCTAGACAGCTGTGCTGTGTCCTTGGACAGGAGGCAGGGCCAAATAAACCAGGGCTTGAATTTGAAGGGTTTCAAAGACAGCCAAGGTAACTGCTGGCATTTCTTCTGGCAAGCTGGTTGTTCCTCCTCTTGATTTCAAAGAGTTGTGATCAACTAGGATAGCTGTCAACTAATCCATGTCATCTAGTCACTTCTAAGGGCCCAGAACCTGATCCTTTGGGAGCATTCACTCTAGAAAACAGTCATGTCACCCTATGTCTGCCTTATACTATCCTGAAAATCCAATTCCCTCCTCCCATGTTGTCAGATATATGAATTAATCTCAGAAGAGGAAAGAAAAATGGAAACCATATAATTGCCCTCATTCTAGCAAAGCAGGGTATTTTCTCCATATCCTTTCAACTCCTGCAAAGCCTGAGGCCCAGCTCAACCCAAGGATCATGATGCAGCCTAAAATTAGTGTACAATTTCCAGGGTTTCTCTGGAATCATTACCTCTGTTCTCTGCCATGTATTCAACTGCTTTCTGCAATAAAAACTTATGGTGGAAAACCTCTGTTGAGGTGACTATTCAGCTGTAACTCTCAATCTGGGATGGGCAGCAGTCATCAGGTCTAGCTAAGGGAGAAAATGCCTGTCCTAGACCAGAGCTGACCTGATATTAAACCTTCATCAATCTTTGGAAGTTATCCACTACTTCATGAGTGAGCAATCCTCACTCATACAGAACTCTCAGCAGAGCAGCATCAGAAGTGTCACCTAAGTTGGTGAATGTGTCGCTTGGTGTGGCAGATTATTCTAGATAGTGCCTTAGTTGAAAAACCCCTCCCTTTTCCAGCAGCTCTGGTGGCACAGAGTTGAGCCACAGACCACAGTGTGAGGCAGAGAGAGGGGAAGGACATTCCTGAGACTGACATGAGAAAAGCAGCAGCTTTCTCACAGTTCAGTGAAGTATTTGACAGCTTGGTTCTGTGCCTCAGGGACCTCAATACAATCCTCTGGCTAAGCTGTGAAAGTTAGAGGATACAGCTTGCAGTGGGATGCAATGTGAATACGACAAAGGTTAAAAAGAGAAGGAAAAGTCGCTCTAACTTCTTGTCCTTCTGCATTTTTACTGCTTGCTTTCCCTTGTCTCTGCTTTCACATCTCTTAGGAAACCTGGCATGGAGTCTGAGAGGAGCTCAGGAATCCAAACACAGCCCACAGGTTGTGTATGGGGTTCCTAGACAGTCAGGGCATCAGCACAGCCCACGGTGCTTCCAGGCTGAGGAGCTCCAGTGTCAGAGGCGTAGGTGTAGAATCACATAAAGTATGATAACACATGGAAAATACTTTGAAAAGATCTTCTTAAAACTAACAATTTAGTCAGTCTCACTTCTTCATTTATCAGAATTCAAATAGTTAGTTGGTATCCAGTGTGCCAGCACAGAGCTAAAAAGAAATGCTCTTACTTGGTTAGTAGTTGCATCTTGCAATGCCTCTTTGTTGCTCAGTATTTGGTTTTAATGTCCAAATAATGTTAATAATTTTCTGTTTTAATTTTGAGGCGTAGTGTTAAGCAGAATTTCAGCTTTCATTTTAAAAGTACAAGTAGATTTCCAGGTCTCCCATTTGTGGCACATCCATCATGAACATACTTGGCTTTTATGTTTTCATATTGCTCAGTACTTATGGCAGTTCCCTGGATGTAAAAGTAAATTCTATTAAGAGCATCTCTTCTGTGTGGGACTATGCATTGCTTTCCTTCCTTTCTTGAAAGCAGGGAGGCTGAAACTGATTTCAGCTACAGCAGAGTGCTAAATAATGGCATAGATAAGCAGTGCAGAGATGATCTCTGGCTTGTCTCGATTCCCAGTTCACAAATGTACAGTGTGTAGTTTCATCTATACTTGACCGATTCTCATTATTTCACTAATATTCCTCCCAGCAGAATTCCAGGCAAAACCAAGCTTTGAATACCAAAGTAAGCAGGAAGCAAATCACCTGCAGATTCACTTGCATAAATTTACAAAAAATTAAGCCACAGCAGATCATCAGCCCAAGTCTACCTAAAACCATGTGGACCCTAAAAGAAAATCAGGATTCATGTGAAATGCCAGAGTTATCCTGAGGCTCATAATGCTTTTTCCTTCACCTTTGAATAACTGCCAAAATTCCCACGAAAAAAACAGTAGCTTCTCAGCTCCTGTTCTGCATGTAAGTGCTCAGCTAATGCCCAGGAGCAGAAAAGCTGGGCTGATCTGGTGTCTCTGCTTCTGGCTGCCCAGCTGGTTCTGCTGCAGTCGGTCACGTGGGGCCCTCAGGCCAGACAGTTCCTCCGCTGGAGAAAATTCAAAACCTTTCAAGTTCTGTGCAACTCAACTCTTGCCAAGCTCCTGTTTGAAATGCCTGTCATGGTCCTTCTCCTGCTGGAAGTCTCTTACTGCATCTACACATCCTGGGAGGTAGAGCAGAGGGGTTTCTGCCCCACTGAAGCAACCAGCTGTTATTCCACATTAGTGTTACTGTGCTTGTGGTGGCAGCTTCTCTTCCTCTCCAGGCTGGGAAAGAGAGGAGGGTTTTAAAGGTTGCCTCTGATGTGATAATGGTGCTCTCTCTGTGTTGGCAGCTTCCCTGACCCCCCCTGTGATGAAGGTCATAGCAGATGGGTATCACTTACTAGTGGAGCTGGAAGAGATGGGGCCTGCCTTTCAGTTCTGTGTTCTCTACTGGAAGAAGGGCCAGGAGAGGAGGGTGAGTGTTACCCTTGGGTTTTGGGTAATAAGAGAGAGCCCTCAGAGAGATCACACAGACACTGCCCAAGGCTCGTTTGCCAGTCCAAGCTCCTGCTGGGAGGCTGGAGGACCTATCTGGAGCTGGTGTGTGCCATATCACTGCACATACCACTGGGCTGCTCTTACCCTCATGGAGAAGCTTGTCTGTTCCTTCCACATTTCCTTCTCTGGGAAGAGGAGTCCCCCCAGGTACCTCAACTGTTGAAAGAAAGCAGAAGGCAGGTATTCCTCCCACACAGCACAACACTCAGATCAGGCAGGACCTTCGTCACCGAGCCCCTACACCAGGGGAGTAGGTTACAGTCTAGTGTTGAGGCCCAACATCATCATTATGCCTCTCTGGCTTACAGCTTCTTCTTTCCATCCCCTCCTACCCTTCCAGATGTGTGTGGTCTCATTCTGCACTCCAGTGTGCTTCCTTGTTTGCTGTCCCTTTCTTCCCTTACAGAGTCCTCACTGACACCTCCTGCTGCTCCTTCCTTTCTCCCAGTAAAGTCTGGGAAGCATCATGGCAGAGCTCCTGTTCCAAAACAGGTCCTTGCCCTCTGTTCTGATGCTTTCTCTCCTGATTCTGTGGCAGATGCAGCAGAAGCTGGTGAAAGAAGTCAGTTCTGTGGTTCACCTGGACACCATGGAGGCAGGAGCTGAGTACTGTGTGAAGGCTCAGTCGTATGTTGAGGCCATCAACAGGAGCAGCAGCTTCAGCCAGACCCAGTGTGTGAGAGCCCAGGGTGAGAGCCAGCCCTGCTTCCTATTCCCCTGGTGTAGTCATGCCCAAGGACACTCAGCAGCTCCTCCTTTATTTCCACCCCATATCTCCTGTCTTGTTTGCAAGTGTGCCCATTTGTTCCTTGGGAGAGGTAAAAAAGGGAGACTCGTGAGTGCAGCCCCCTGCACTGGCACGGGTATCCTTTCCTGGAGTGTGTCAATGAGGGATCTCACCAGGATGGGTGCAGGGTTCAGGCTGACTCCACTGAGTCTTTGTCCTCACAGTGTCTCTGAGAAGTTTTGCTGTTTCTGTTATTTCCAGGTGACACATCCATGTGGCTGGTTACTGCCCTCATCTCCTCTGCTGGCTTTGCTGTGGCTGCTTTAACCCTGTCTTTCCTCACCTGGAAAACAAGTAAAATCTTTCAGTACTCCTGCTGCCCCGTTGCTGTCCTGCCAGACACACTGGTAACTTTTTTTTACTGTGCTTTATTGGTTTTTAGGGTGCTGGGTATTCCCAGGAGCATGGGTCAGGCAGGAAAGGCAGACACATAGGAAGCCGTGCTCATTCCAGCGTGATGGGCTGAGCTGCAGGGACCCAGCAGCCCTGAACTGGCTGCACAGCTGTCACTGCCTTTAACACAGAACCCTGAGCAGGGAAGATGCTCCTGGTGCTTGTGAGGCATGGACTGACCCTGCCTGAGCAGCTGCTCCCTGAACCAGACGGCTGTGTCATTGGCAACACTGCTCCACGTCCCCTGGAACCAGCTCTGAGCTGCTCAGCTCCTTGGTGAGGAGGAATCTAACATCAAAGGCTCCCTCGTGAGTGTGTTTAAATGCCCAGCTCAAGTGACAGTGCAGGTGGCAGCTTTGATGGGTGAGGGTTCCTGAGCACTGGGTCTCTGGCAGTTGTGTCAGTTTGTGGGGAGAAGCAGAAATACAAGCAGACCAGCTCATCAGCCTGAGGGTGTTTGAGTGAGTGCATTTGTTTTGCAGAAAGTATCAGAGCCCTCCAGCCAGCTGATACTGTGTGGCAGTGAAGGAGCTGAGCAGTGTGATCTGATGGTGGTTGTGATGCCCTCTGAAGAAGTTCTCCGACTGTGGCTACAAGAAACACTTTAGAGCAGCCCAGAAAACAAACAGCCTCTTTGTAGCATCTTCATCCATCTGCGTCAAAAGCAAGTAGAGGTGACAGCTGCCAGTTCTATGCCTCCCCTTCACATCCTTACCCCAGGAGCAGACATGAGGTAACTCAGTTCCCTTTCCCACATGGGTGGTCCTAAGGCAGAGCTCGCCCTTCACCCCCCAGGATTTCACCAGAGCAATGCACTTGGAGCCCAGTGCCTTAGTTCCAAACCATTTCAGCCTCAGTGTTTTGCCTCAGTAAGAGCTTCTTACACTGCAAAACCAGCTGGAATGAGCAGGAAAAAAAATGTTTTTAGGGCTGCAGGCCCTGAGCTGAGGTGACACTCATTGAAAAGGGTGTTGGCAGTGACTGAATCCTGATTTGCTGCGTGTGACAGATAACAATGTATGGTGCCACCAAAACTTACAGACAGTGCCGTGAGGGATGACTGGATTTCACCAGTACTTAGGAGCAAGTGATGTGAGAAACACCCAGACTTCAGAGCTGGTTGCAGGGAGTGATGAGAACACTTTGGGTGCAGAGCTTTGCAAGAGCAGCAGCATCACTAACAATGTATAGGTCCAAGATCACCTAGTCAAAAATAGGAACGCCGTGTGTGAGTGAAGGAAAAACTAGGACCTTCAGAAAAAATATAACTAGGAATTAATTGTTTAAGTGAGAGGGAGTGGAGGAAAATAGGGAAAAGACCGAGAAAGGTAGGCTCAAGAAATAGGAGAAGAAATAAAAAGGGACAAACGTAAGTGCAGATCGTGGTCAGGATTGCCCAGGGTGCCTGCTGGGCACCCCTGGGGTTCAACAGCAGGACGTTGACTGTGTCATACAAGGCAAATGATCTTCTGTGGTCAGGAGGGCCAGGCTAAGGGGCAACGGGCTAACGGAGGAATATCAGGATGAATGGATCAAGCATCACAGCATTGTCATGGTAGTGATGATTCCAGGCCTGACAACATCACTATCCTCCAGATATCCTGTCCTCTTAAGGAAAGATATTGCCAAAGACACAAGAAATTCCTTCTAAATACAAATAAAATATAGTTGTTTTGTATATTGCAATTGTGGCTGTCACTTTGGGGAAGAAAAAGTAATTTCTTACCTCTGAAGCAGAGACTTGTGTTAGCAGGGCATGAAAAGACATTGATCTGAGAAGCTTTTTTTAAGGCTCTCAGTGGGTCTAATGAAATGCAAGATATCTCTTTCTTAAAGAATATGTTTTCTTAAATTTCATTCTTGCAATCTTGCATGAGGCCATCGGGTGGCAACAAAGCACCGTGAAAAAGTAGAAGTGACTCAGGACTATCTATACCTGTGTTGTCCTGTCCAGGCTTTTGCCCCGGGGCCTGATCAGCACCTCCTTTTCGTGTTGCAGCTCAGTTGCTTGTTTTATTCCTGTCTCACTGGCTTCTGTCTGGACAGTATGGGACGTAGTACTTTGGTGTTAAATCATAAGATTGTTACTGCTGAATATTTAGCAAATTACAGAGTGAAAAAATCCATGCAGGTCCGAGCATTGAAGACTCAGAGCTGATTATCAGTTTGATGCTAATTAATTGGGAAATGCCTGGTTGCAAACACTCACGTGATGCTGAGCCCAGACAAGATTTGGGAGCAAAGAGGAGAAGTGCATGTGCATGGGGTGATGTGACAAGTGCTGAGGGTCCCTAAATCAAGCTGGGGTGGCAGTGGAGGCATCCAGTGGCTGACTCCAGCAGCAGGCAGTGCACAGCAGTGGTTTTTTGGAGGACAGTCAGCACAGAGGTTCACTCCCCTGCAGGATTAAAGGCTCTTTGTCAAACACCCCCTTTAGCCAGTGCTTGAATTTTCAAGCCATAGTTCCCAATCCCAGAGGCCTTGGTGGTAAGGCTGGCTGAGAGAGCTCCTGTGCCTCCCATTTATCCTTATTTTATTGGATGAGTTTAGTGTCTTGGTTTCTAGAGTGCCCCACAGGAAAATGTCCTTGTTCATTCCACGGCTAAAGGTCCAAAAAGCCTCAGCAATTCCTCCTATCTCTTCCCCTGACACTGCTGCATTATGGCAGTACCAGCAATTGTTTAGGGATACAGAGAAAAGAAGGGAAAGAAAAGGCCCCTTGAACGTGAAAAAAATTTATTTTAATGCATAATTTCCAGCTGCACATTAAGCATGGAGCATATGTTTCTTTCTCACTTGCAATAACAGATTTTATGTCCCTCCTCATTGCCAATAAAGCAGCTAAACTGTTGTAGAAAACTGTGCAGACAACGTTAAACAAAAGAAACAGCTGAAAAAAAAATCTTACAGTAGGGGCATGGAAGGGAATTGTTTGAGTGCCACTGCCACCTCAGCGAGACTATTTTCAATTTACATCAGGATATTCCATTTTATGGCCACTTGAAGCCAAATTTGAGATGGTGGTTGAAAATCCCCAGCAACCTCCTCACTTTGAAGGCTGTGCTGCACTTTGTGGAGCCTGAACAGAACAAGAGGGATTCCTCTGCCCACCCCCTGTACCCAGTAGCACAGTGGCACTGGCGTGGGCAGCTGCCATCAGTGCCTCCCTGCTTCATTTCCCTGCATCCCAAGAGTTAATTGTGCCTCAGCAGTCATGGCAACCACTGCCTCTGATCACTGATTTTGCTCCCACGACCATGATACCACATTTCAAAGGAGGACCAGACAAGCCACCGCAGCGAAGAGCGCTGTGTGCCGACCAACTTTGCTCTCTCTCTTCTTTCTTTCTTTCACGCTGAGTGGCTCCATTTCTTTCAAAATGTGTTTCCTTTTTACTTTTCTCGATATATGTTGCATGAAAATAAAGCACAAACCTGCAGCATCTTTTCAGTGAGTTTTGTTTCCGTGCTGAATGTTTGTAACCTGTGGGTTGTGACTCAAAAAAACCCTCAACTTTCTCCTTGTAAGAACAGAAGAAATGGTACTAAGACCAGTTTTCAAAGGAAAAATTATGCAGACCAGCATAAAAACTGTTGATTACATGAACATTTGAGAAGAGCTACATATTACTGCATTGACAAGAAAACAAGGAATTCAATTATCTGTTCTGTGACAGTAAGTGGCTGAAATATAGCCTAATTTTTCCTGTGAAGTGTATTTCCTTAGAAACCTATTGCTGTTTACAACTTTTAAAAGCCAATATTAATATACAGTCCAGCATTTCACTGTCCAATCAGATATTTACCTTGATAAATTGCTATTTTAAGTATTTACTGCATCATTTCTGCATGTTTTGTCTCTTCAAAATTTAACAGTTTTCTTATAAAATTAAAAAGTAACCAAAATCACTGGTTTGGCTGCAAGTCAATTGAGTTTCTTGCAAAGGTGGTACTGTGTCCTGCAAATGAACTGCTACAAAGATAATAAACATCCAAACCACTGCAGATACACATATTTGCTGTTCAAAGAATGTGTGTACAGATGATTCTGTTGTTATTACAGCACAAAACTGCAGAAACAGAAAATTACTCAGTTCAGGTCTCTTGTGGTCTTTCTCAATAAATGGCCTATAAAAAAAAATCAGAAATTACTAAATCAAGATATAAAAGCAATTAGAAGATGGCAAGGTTAAGTGAAATTGCCCAAGTAAATACATCACACGGGGGCCTAATTTGGTTCCATGCAGTGCCTGGGCTATAATTTAGCTGTTACTACAGAAATGGCTCCATCTGAGGACTTTAAGGTCTGGGATTTGCTCGGGATCAAACTCTCACCTTCCTTGAGAGCCAAGGACGTGCTGTCACGGTGCAGCCCAGCAGACAGTGATCCTACCCCAGACATCCTGCTCACCCTACAGCCCCCAGTCCCACAGTGGGGAGCAACCCAAAGGACCTGTGTCTTCATTATCCATTGGGATATTAACAGTATCTGATGGGGTTTTTTTTCATTTTTACACTATCTTTTATTTTTTTATCAGACATCTGAATCAAGAGCGTGAGGCCTATTTAAAGACGGAGCAGAGGCTTAAAATAAATACATTCTACCTGCCAAACAATTCACATTTGGCAGGACTATTTTAACTGAGTGCTCTATATCTGTATCTATCAAATCATGCAAATCTGCTCTGTGCTATGGGTGTTGCATTAACTTACACGGAATAGAAGGGGTCTGTAAAACCTGAATGACTTGGAGACTGTCAGTGAGCACATGGTGGAGGAAAGAAGATGTCTGAAGATGCACACAACCTTTGACTTCAAGTGGAGAGGTGGGGTGTTCCCTACCTGAGACCTTGCAAGATGCTGAGAACAGAAAGGACTTTTTCCCCAGCCAAAACTCAGTCAAGGAAAGGGTTGGAAAGAGGCAATATTCGTGATCAGCTGTGAGCTTGGAAATATTACCAGGCAGTCTTTATGCTGCTGCTGAGCCTCTTTCCTCTTGCAGCTCCATTGCTATTTAAGTTCCCAGATTTATAGCATTTTTCCTTTGAAGAATTTCTCTTTTATTTTGCCCCCCTACTGAGGCCAGAGAGTTCATATAGACCTGTGAAAGTGGTCCCTGATACAAGGCAGCTACAGCTCTGTACTTTTTAGCATATTGTGGTCTTCAAACCTGCCTTCCACTGCACAGTCCTTCTCTTCTCACTGCTGTGCTTTCATTCTGGTGAGTGTCCTGCTCGTCCTCCAGGTTGCTCATATATCTCATCCCTCCTGCTGCTATCCAGACAGGCTGATGGCTAACATTTTCCCTCTTTCTGCCAAGTCCTGGCCTTGACTCCCTCTTCTGCCATCTGGTACAACTTCATTGTTAAATTTGACATTGTTCCCAACACTCTGCTGAGTTTGGTGCTGCCTCAGATGTCCTGCAGTTTAGAGGGTGTCTCTCACCCTGACACTGTGTGTCATTATGGGACAGTCTTACTCAGCCCTTCTCACACACTTTGGCATTTTCTTAGTCACTTTTGCATACTCATTCACTTTTCTTCCAATGCACTGTGAAATGCTGTCCCCTGCTAGGCAGGAGCTTTCTGAGCACCAGCCTGTCATCTGCCTGTTGACCTTTTCCCTTCCACTTGGAACAGTTAT